GGGGGGGGGGGGGGGCAGCCACAGCCAAGCAGTGAACACTGATGAACTCAGCAATCTGAGAAACCCTCAGACCTGGCAGCTTTTCATGGAGAGCTTCTATCCATAGCGTGTTGATGGGACGTCTGTGGAATTCCTTCTCCTAAGTATATAAATCTGAGCTTTTGATAAAAATTTGACAGGGTTGTTAACTGATGAAAATCACTTCAGCTATGACTGACAAAGCAAAATTGAAACAGACTCAAAGTTTTTAAACTGGGGAGCATCAAAATGGTAAGCTGAACAGGAAGAAGTCCAGACGGAGGCTGTGGAATGGGAGCCGTGGCAGAGACATGATGAGCCCAGCAAAGCTCGTGCATTCTTGCGGGACAGAGGAGAGCGGCACTGTTGGCTGCCTGCTTCGAGCTGGTCATCACCGTTTCTGCCCCAGCCATTTAGGAGCTATGGTTAGTTTGCAATGGGCACGCTGCCCTTATCTCCTAAGAAGAAGATTGTGTTTCTAGTAGGTTACCAGCCTATAATTTCTTCCATTCTGGTTTCTGGTTACCATTCCAGTTCACTCACCATTTACAAGTTTGGGTCCATTTGGTTTGGTTTCATCAGCCATGAGTGAACTGGGAAAACCAGTCCAAAGCTCTGATGCCTTGCCATGCCTGCCTGCCTGTCATTTTCACAAACACTACATCGCACCCTCCTGACAGTTTGGAATATTATTTCTAAATATGGATTTGAACCTTCATGGCTGGGGGGCATTGACAGGAGGAGCTTCCATATAATACTGAGGACTGTTCACAAAGAACAAAGCCAGGGTCTTCTATTCACGGTGTGAGGGGAGACACAGAGACTCCTTGACCTGCCCCAGACTGTGCACCTTACTGACTTGTATTTTTTGGGGAACTGGGCAGTGTGGAGACACTTCAGTCCTACATGGGGTGTGATGTTCATTCTATGAAACCAATTTCAGGTGGTTCTCCTCTGGAATGAAAAAAAATGAAAGCAAAAGGCAGCCAGTACTCTCCCCAGCCTCAGTAATGATTCTTGGCAGAGGGACATAAATCAGAATGTTATCCACTGTGCAGAACGTGAACTATTTCAGGGGGGGTATTACTTACTGTGCAGCACTTGAATAAGAAAAGCCTTTATCTTATCGAAGAAGAAATGCTCTCGCAGCAGACATAGGTAGCTGCATTTGTTAGTCTAGATAACCTTTGTATATGAATATCCAAGTGAAGTGACCTTTTTTATAAGCTTCTGTAGTGTTTATTCCAACTCTAGACATAGGTGAAGATCAGAGGAAAGGTTGGTAGGGCGGAAAATGAAGAGATAGATGAGCCACGTGTATCAGATTTGCGACACACACACACAAAATTGAATTTGGAAGCGATGTAACATTTTATTGTTAATCACCATGTCATATTTTTGGAATTTACAGCAGAGTGATTTTCAACTTGCATTTAAGCAGATGAAAATCCACACCAAAGAGCACCCTCAGAGCATTGATTTGGATGACGAGTATTCATTTATTCTAGGGGAAATGTCTAGATATACGATAAAAACTGACTTATTATTCTTACATGTTAAGTATTATAAAGTCTAGAGCAGTTGAAATCTGACTTGTAAGTTTGATTTAAACATCTTGAAGGCTTTCAGTCCAACACAGTCCTTGTTGGTGTGTGTTGTTGTTGTCAGGTGCCCTCAAGTCAGTTCTGACTCACAGCGATCCTGTGCTGTGTAGGTTTCCAAGGAGCAGTTGGTGGGTTTGAACCAGTCAAACCAACTGTATGATCCAGTGCTTATCTTACAGCACCACACCAGACCTCCCAAAGGTGTATAAACACAGGTAGCCTGGGCCAAGGCCACCTTAGGAAGCACCCCCGCCCAGGGGCCCGCCTTCCAGCACTGCACGATCAGGAGCAATAATCCGAGACTGGTTTCAGGAAGCGGATCACGAGGCCTTTTTTCCTGGGCTGTCTCAGTCTGGGGTGTGGAGGCCAATGATGAACCTGCTCCCCACGGTCTCTCCCCAGGAGTACCAGCCGTGCAACACCAACCCTTGCCCCGAGCTGAAGAAGACGACACCTTGGACCCCTTGGACTCCCGTCAACATCTCCGACAACGGTGGCCACTATGAGCAACGGTTCCGCTACACCTGCAAAGCCCGCCTGCCCGACCCGAACCTGCTGGAAGTGGGCCGGCAGAGAATCGAGATGCGCTACTGTGCCAACGACGGCACAAGCAGCTGCTCCACGGACGGTGAGTGGTCCTTCCCGGGGGGCTTCGATCCCACAGCAGACTGAAGGGGGTTTCCACTCTGATGTGTATGTAGCATGTTGACCACTCTGACGGTACACTTAGAGTTATGCGTGGAAGGGCTGTGAACTCCACTCCCCAAGTGACAGGAATGTGGTCATCAGCCGGAACAGCCGGGGTGGCATTCCCTTTTGCTCAGAAGATAATTCTGCATACATCTTGAGCTACACATAAGCTTTTCCTTCCGTTATCTCTGGAATCCTGGGTGGTGCAGATAATGAAGGCACTAACTGACCACCGTAAGGTGAGCGGTTCCAATCCACACAAAGGTGTCTGAAGAGAAAGGCCTAGAAAACCCGTCACTGAGAACCCCGTGGAGCACGGTTCTATCCTAACACATGTAGGGGGCGACATGACTCAGAGTCAACTCAGCAGTGACTGGGTTCGATTTTGTTTTTTTGGTTTTTGTGGGGTTTATGGAGTCCCACAAGTCCTGGTGTGCCACTGTGGGTTAATGTAGACTAGTAACCACAAGGTTGGTGGTTCAAACCCACCAGCTGCTCCTTGGAAATCCTATGCCGAGGCGCTCTGACTTGGAACCGACTCGACAGTAAAAACACGACGCTGGACCAGCCAGTCCTGGGTGTGGCGCTGTGGGCTAAAGCACTGGACCATAGGTCAGTTTGAACCACAGTGTCAGTGTTTCAGACTCACCAGCCTTATACAGGGTCTCTGTGAGTTGGAACCAACTTGATGGCATTTAACAGCAAAGCTGGACAGAACCCAAAGCAGAGCAAACCCTCAGCCATCAAGTCGGTTCCAAGTCATTGTGCCCTTATGGGACGGGGCAGAACCCTCGTGGGTTTCTTGTTGTTGTTGTTACATCCCATGGAGTCAGTTCCGACTCACAGCAACCCTGCACAGGGTTTCCAAGGCTATAAATCTTTACAGGAGCAGACGGCCACATCTTTCTGCTGAGAGGCTGGTGGGTTTGAACACGCGGCCTTGTGCTTAACCCGCTGCTCCACCAGATCTCCTGGACAGAGATGAGGGACGTGCATTTCTGTACTCACACCAATGAAAACATCTGCTTTAGGAAAGGATGGCTTTGTCCATGTGAGTGGACCCGACTCTGTCACAGAAAGCCTGAGGCCCAGGGCACACAGTCAGCCTGAGTGCGTCCCCTGTGCGCTGTGTGGCCCCAGGCAAGTTCCTTCACTTCTCTGTGTCTAGACTTCCTCCTGCAAAGTGAAGGGCCATAAATCTGTCTAGGAAATGAGTGACCCACGGACAAACTCTGCCACAGTGTTCCACACTGAGTATGCACACAGCTTCAGTTCTTGCCCTTGCTGTTTTGTTGTTGTTGTGTAACTTTTTATTATGAATTGAGTAAAGGTTTACAAACAAGACCGTCAGCTTTACATTCAACAAATAATCCACTTTGTTTCATCTCAATGATTCCAGTCCCCTCCCTGTAACAAGTTACCCTGCTTCCTCCCTGTGGTTCCCTGTATACATCTTATATTCACAAATGAACAAAGAGAAAATATTTAATGTACACATATAAAACAAAAAATATATGCTGATTTAACTGTCCAAAGGGCACATTCTGTAAGCCAGCCTCCTACCCTCAGGCATACAGCCTTCCTCAGTCCCTAGGCCAAGAGTCCGCAGCTGCTCTGTCTCTCCAGGCCACCACCTCTGCCACCACCTCTGCCATCACTGCTTTTCTAGGTAGGGATCTCACGATGCCCTCATGCTCCCCCTTCTTGATGGTCCTGGGATCGTCTGTTACTGAAATGAAAGTTTAACTGCTCCCCTCTTTTAGTTATACATCATCTACAATTATAATTGTGACAATCACAATTATTCCTGCTCACGATTACTTACAATTGAATCATAAAATCCCATCATGCCCCACCCCTTTTTCCAGATCCATGTTGGAAAGAGGGAAACTATTCAGTAGGGATTCTACCTTACCCCCCTCATTCTGAAATTGAGTTCACTCATGAAAACTTGTAAGCCAGTCACTTCATGTCTTTATTTTTTGTTGTTGCTGTTAAGTGCAGTCAAGTCAGTTCTGACCCATAGCGACCCTATATAGGGTTTCCGAGGAGCAGCTGGTGAGTTTGAACCATCGACCTTGCAATTCAAATGGCTTTGCAGTCTGGCGCATTAACCCACAGCACCACACCAGGACTCCTCATGTCTTTATAGCTGCCCCCTTTTTTTAATAGCCAGTGTTTAGATTTACCCTTGCTGTTTGCTGCATCTGTATTGAAGCTAAACTAGATCACGAAAATCTTTGACACAAATCGTTGGAAACGGGAGTTTGATGCCTTTTTTTTTTTTTTTTTTTTTTAACCAACTGTGTAGTGAGACCCTAAGCAGAGTTTTGATGAGCAGGGATGGTGACTGTATCCACCATCACATGATCTCTGGCTAGTCACCACATGGTGGAGAAAGGCAGGGAAGTCTAAGTCTGTGCCAGAGATGCCCTTGCTTGCAGGTGAAAGCCAAGTCTCAACACATGGGGATGATAGTGCGGGCTCCTTGGGTCCCATGCCCCCCTGACCTCGCCTCACTTCCCTGCTCTCACTGCAGAACTGACCTCAACGGTCCCTGTCACTTGTTTGATTTGTGGTGGATGTCCATCCTCTTCCAACAGACACAGAACTCCGTCCCTCCCCAAAGAGATGTACTGAGCTGGTTGGTGATCAGAGCTGTAATCCTAAACATAAGACTTCAGTGTCAGGAATGAGTCTGATATGTGTAGCAGCAACAACATCTACTCCACAAGCAAACTAAACCACACCACCTGCCATCAAGCCGATTCCCACTCACAGTGACCCTGTAAGATGGTGGAACTGCTTCATACGGTCTCCAAGACTCTACAGCTTTGTGGAAGCAGGCTGCCACGATTTTTCTCCCTATTGCTGCTGGATAGTTTTTGAACTGTTGAACTTAAGGATAGCAGTCAAGTGCTTAACCGCTGCACCGCAAGGACCCCTTCCCATAAACTTCCTAGCCACTGCTATTCCCTTCCATCTGAGCGTGCCCCCTTGACCTCACCAGATGGAATACATAGGAATCTAATTGACTGTGGGGAAAGACATTGGAAAAGCTTCATATCATCAGCCAAAACAAGGCCAGGGAAGACTGTGGAACAGACCATCAATTGCTCCTTTTCGAGTTCAAGCTGAAGCTGAAGAAAATTCAAACAAATTCATGCGATCAAAATAGGACCTTGACTGTATCACAACTGAAATTAGAGTCCATCTCAAGAACAGATTTGATGCATTAGTTACTTTTGACTGAAGACCAGAAGAGTTGTGGGATGAACCTCATGCAGGAAGAAAGCAAAAGGTCACTGAGAAGATGAGAAAGAAAGAAAAGACCAAGACGGATGTCAGGAGAGACTTGGAAACTTGCTTTCCAGCCTAGAGATCCTAAAGCAAAAGGAAGAAATGAGGAGGTAAAGGAACTGAACAGAAAATTTCAAAGGGCAGCTCAAGAAGACACAGTCCAGGATAATAATGAAATGTACAAAGACTGGAGGTAGAAAACCAAAATGGTTAGAACATTTCTCACGCTGAAAGAACTGAAGACAAAGGTGCCACCTTGACTTGCAATATTGGAGGAAGGAGCTCTGGTAGCGTAGTGGTTACGAATCGGGCTGC